TACTTTCTTTTTATACAAACTGTATTTCCAAAACATGTTGTCAGGAAATGCTATAAAAATATTGTAATGAAAATTAAAAGAAATTATATTTATAGAAACAGGAATTATTTCAGTTGTGACCAAATTTTAGTTTATAATAACTATTTATACAGCACTCTTAATTCATGACAAGTTGTTAAATTAATCGGTGAACTAAACTTTTTAGTATGCATATGACTTTTTTCAATAACAAATCATCAGATGTGCAAATTCAAAAAATTAAATGTAGCATAAAATTGTAGAATATTTTAAGGTATAGTAAATATTCAAACATTCAATTTTTACAAAAAATACATTGTAGTTTTATTTTGTCACTTAGTAAAAACAGTTTTTAGTGATTAGATTGCAAAATCCGCTTTGAAGCATCTCAATGGTTTATTTAATTTATTCTATTTTTCTATGAGATAAAGAAAACTTACCCAATACAAAATAAAACAAATAATATCGATAAAATAAATTGAGTAAGTTTACTAGATGAAAGCTCCAACACTCTTTAGGGTCAAAACTGAATGCAAATAGAAGTAAAATTACTTTAATGTTATCAATTTTAATAGTTCAAATAAAGAAAAGATAAAACAATTTGATATTTATATCTTAACAAAAGAAATAAAATCCACAATTATATCTTCTTCGTAATTAAATATTTCTATAATAATTTCTTCAAAAGAAGCAATTAAAAACAAATTCTTCACATTCAATACCATTTGTATATTTCACAATGCCAATATCACAGATATTCATATCAAACATTGTAATGAAACAAATAAAATAGTTAAACATCTTTATAGAATTAACAATAGGAAGAATTGCAACAAGAAAAAAGCTTAAACACAAGCTAGATTCTAAAACTTTGCAAATAACATAGTTTACCTTTTGAGCAAAATTTATTGAACTACTGTATTTAACTCATAACAGGGGTCTGTCCAGACATTTTGTGAAAGGTCCTGTTTTTGTAAAATTGTCCTGCTTTTGTGAATTTGTGCAAATAAGGTCCTGTTATTGCAAAAATTGCTAAAAACCTTTTCAAGAAGTTTTTAAATTGTAAATAGATACAAGATTACACACAACAATTGCTGCTACTAAATTAGAGATGCAACATATAAATATTTGGAATTTAGCCTATACTGCTCAATGCAGAATATTCATTTCAGACGAATAATGGAAACAAAATCACACACATTTTTAATAATTTCAATTGACATATTTTAAATAAAACAACTTAATTATGTATCACTTTTAATGTGTTACGCATTAAGTAAATTTAAACAATTCATAAATTTATAATATTTTATTTAAAAAATTGCCAGAAATTAATTTTTATTTACATAATATTCTATTAATTAATTTTATGAATAAATATAAATTGATCAATTATTTATTTAGGAAAAAAAAATATTTATATCAATAAGAATGTGCACACGATGTTTGAAAAAGTAGAAATATTTTCTTAGAATTTGCAATTTAAACTTTGGGAAACTATGAAAACTTAGTTCGTTTCCAGCCATTTTTCTTTCTTTTTCCCTAGAAGGGTTTATTCGATTAACAAAACAATAATGAAGATAAACAAATTTGTGAAGGGTACGATTAAAAGATAAATTATTTTGTGAAGGGTTCATTTCTAAGAAAAGATATTTTGAGAAGGGTCCGTTAACGGACCCAAATTTCTTCTAAACAGACCCCTGAAGAAAAACTATTTTACATGATGGTTGTTTAATTAATAAATTGATTTAGAAACAGAGAGGATGGTTACCCTGAACTAAACAGAACACAAAGTAAAGAGAAAAAATAAAAACAGTTGAAGATAGCTATTAAAATTATAGCAAATATAATTGTTTTTTGGAAATGGAGAGAAATATTATAGAACAACTTGGGTTGCAATGATGAATTATAAAGGTGGAAAACTCAGGAGATCTCATTGTCTGAGATGTGGGTCTTGACACTAGCAATGAAACACGTGTTTTAGTACCCAATCTTCAATTATTTTTATTAGTGATCTCTTCTAAGGGTGCACAATCTTTTTTTTGGAGAAGGGGGGAAAAAATCTGTTTTTTCAAGGGATAAAATAAATTGAGATTTTGTATCAAGAATAATTTTAATTATATTTATGTTTAATGTAATATGTATTTATGTTTAATGTTTAGTTATGTTTTATATAATTTTCACATAAAAAATAATGTATTGAACAGTAAACTTTATACATGAAAAAAGTATAAGCATAATATTTTTGATATTATTTGTAGTTTTGCATGCACTGTCCTTTAATAAAATTAAATCATAAAAAGTTTTAAAATTTTCCCAGAGAAAGATAATTTTATTCATTATAATTTGCTTTATATAACTTGTTACATTATTAATTATTAAATAAATCTTGTAATTTTTTAGTTTTGAAATAAATAAATCTCATTCTAATAGAATACGTTTTGGTAAAAAAAAAATTCCACAAAGTTTAAAAAGGCTAAGGATTTAAATCTTTAAATACTACAATTGATATTTCTATATTTTTTTTCTCGAAATTTTAATGCTTTTTTAAATATTAAAATTAGTTTAAAAAATATTTACTCAATACATATATTGTTTTAGACTAGAAAGTGAACATCATACATAATAAAATAGCTAACAATAATTGAGCTGACATATGAGATTGAGGTCAATAAATTTTAACACAAAATAACATAGAAAGATAAATATCAATTTTCCTAAATGTGAACACGTTAAAAAAAGCAAAAGAAGCTAAAATTAATAAACTTTTTAAAATCATCTTATCTGATTTTAAAGTATATCTAAAGTATTAAATTTACAAAAGTATAACTTAAGTTCGAATACATACAGTATTCAATTTAAAACAATACAAAATTTAATACAAAAATAAACAAACAAATAGAAAAAAGAGAGCAATAGAAAATAAAAGCGTGTATACATAAAAAATTCTGTTTATGAAGAATGATATCTTAAGTAATCATGAAGCAAATCGGTAATAAATTAACAAATGAAGAAATTTCTTTTAACTGTAGCAAGCTAAAAGAATTTCCAACAATAAGTATCATACTCCATTAATAATATAAATATGTTACAGATTTTAATAAAATAGAAAACATAGTTGCCCTTTGTGACAAATTTTTAATGTTGAACTCATTGAAGTATAAAATTAAACACCTCCTTGCCAACCATTTTTTTGTGTGGTTCCACCCTATTTTTTTTTTTTTATTTAGTAATTTNTTTTTTTTTTTTTTTTAGTCATTTATTAAGTATGATATTAAAAAAATATCTACAGAATGCAGAAATTGTTTTTTTTTCCTTCAATTTCATCTACATTTACATATTGCAGCAAACTTACAATATCAAAGTAAAGATAAGGAATGCTGGGAAACAGGAATGTTTACTTTGAGAAACAATGCATGAGCTAGCATTTGCAGCCGGAGAAGCTTAAGTTCCTACATTTAAATATAGTTTAGAGAATTATGTTTACATGGAATTGCGATTGTTTGAGAGACAAAAATCTATAAAATAAAAATTTCCACATCGAGTTAACATGATGTGCATAGACATGGTACTGAGGTAAGGTTGATAGTACCTCAAAATTATAAGTACTAAGAACATATTCTTTTTTTCCCCCCTTGCCTTTAAAATTTATCTTAACCATTATGAACAAAATTATAGCTAAAAATCCACAATTCGTCTGAAATAAATTACTTTTAAAAAATAAGATAGCTATACTTGGCTTTATTGAAGTTATTTATGATATTATATGCTAAAAAAAAAGAAACTTTAGTGTTAAAACAAAAGTTTTCTTGCTAAGATGATATTTTATTAGAAAATTTGTCAAAAAACTAAAACTAGAAACACGTTTTTATATTCAAAAAGCTGAATCAGTCAATAAATTTACACAACTTTGGTATAGTTACACATTCCCTAATTAGGAAAAGAAACTTAGCAAAATGAAGCCCAAACAGCTAACATGTTTTTGACACAAAGTAAAGAGACATTGGAAGAAAACTTTGTTAATTGTAATAACTGATTTCTACCAAAAAAGTGGAATGTCTCTAAAGTGTTATAACTATGAAAATAGGAAAAAATAAAATAACCAAAGCTATATGAAAAAAAAAGAGAAAAAAAAAAGCTGCCTTTTATTAAATTTAAAAAAAAAGTTGTTTTAGAATAATAGCAATAAATTTAATATTTTTTAAATAATACTTTCCTTACAAAATAAGTTGATTAATATTTTATTTTAAAAAATATTTTAGTTTATATAAATCCAAATAAGAATTTGTAAATTTTTTACAGCAATTAGAAAATTAGAAGAATGCTTACATACACAAATAAATATATGCTTAATGTTCCCACAAAAAAAAAAGTATGTATAAGAACAAACATATAGCTACATTTATTAGGTTTCCTAAGCTCATTCAGTTTAAGTCAATAATACATTTTAGATTGATCACGAAAAAACAAACAAATTATAATTTCCAAATAAAAATTCTGAAAAATTAAAGAATTCTGTTCAAATGAATGCACTTTTAAATAATAAAAATCAAATTCTACCTTTGTTTTTTTCAGTTAAAATTTTTAATAGTTTTTCTTAAAAATATTTATTTAATAAAAATGAACATTTAAAATTCATAATACACAACTTCAATAGCTTAATTATTTAGCATTAGTTTGATATCCTCAGATAATTCCAAGGCATAAAATGCTAAATAAAGTAATGAATAAGTACAATGTTAAATTGTTTTCATAATGACATGATTAATTTGAACTTGCATATTGATATAGCATAAGAAACAAAAAATATTCAAATCCTTGATTCAAAAAACATAATTATAATTTCCAAAAATTACCCAACAGCCTTTATTTTCGAATTTTAAAAAAAATCACAATTTTTGCAATCTGAAGTGTTTTGTTAACTACAATAATTTTTTAGTTATGATTGTTAAGGTATATATAAATTTCTTTTTCACTTTTAATGTAAAGCTATAAAACATTTACCTATATAAAATAATTCACTATAATAATGTATTTTTCAATTAAATTTACTTAGTATTATAGTTACTGCATGTTTATCAGCATATTTTGGGGGATTCTTAAACTAAGCAATATAATGGTTTTTGTTTCTTACGCAATATCAATACGTAAATTCAAACTAATCATTGATCTTATAGTTTAAGTCTTATTCATGACTTACTTTCACATTTTAGAATTATTTTTTAATGAAATGAAACTAATTTTATAAAGATAATTAAGTAGGAGGGAGATATAAGGTTTTCAAAGATAGATATAGCATTAGTTGGATTCAAATAATGAGAAGTAATTGGCAGATCTAAAATCAGAAAAAAAAGATAGCAAATTAATTTATTAGTTTTTAATACATAATAAGGAAATTTTTTTTGAGAATGTCAATGAAATAATATATATTTTTTTAATTTAATAAATTTTACAATTATATGGATAACTGGAGTACTTTGATTTTATGATTAGAGAAAAAAGTTTATGAATCTTTTGGCAGGAAAACTATTTAAATTGCTAAGATATATTATAATGTTGATTTCAGTTTCAATCAAAATAATGCACATGCAAATGAATTCTTTTCATTTAATTAATTTAAGAAATACTAAACAGCTGCCAATTAAATATAATTTAAAACTCAAAATACTTAATAATCGACACCACATAGTATAACTTCAAGTTTAAATAGTATAATAAAATTTACATGATATAAAGGGGACTTTTCAACATATCATTGCAACATCAGTTGAGTGATATTTTTTTGCACGATAGAGTCTCTGACGGCATTGAACACTACTTTAATATTCTCTGTATCTATAGCTGTAGTGTAATGGTGAAAGATAGCTTTATTTGGATCTCTTCTTGTGTTTTCAAATAGCTCTAAAATAAATTTTTGAACATTTTCTATGCTGAAAGGATCACCTTTAAACTCAGGGTAAAACAATGAAATGTCAGACATTTTGTTAGAAATTTTGTAAGTTAATAAATCAGTTTTGTTAAGAAAAAGGATAAAAGACACCTCCACAAATGCTCTGTGGTTGACTATGGTTTCAAAAATGTTCCGCGATTCTAGTAGACGATTTGTAGCTCTATCTTCGAGTAGCACCTGGTCGAATTCGCTGGAAGACACTAAAAACAAGATGGATGTGACGGAATCAAAGCACTGAAACCATTTTTGCCTCTGAGATCGCTGACCTCCTACATCTACAAAACAAAATGGTACTTCATTAATTGTAATTGTAAATTCGGTAATTCCTTTGGTTGCTTTTCTGGCATGAAGAATATCTTGGTGACTGGGTGTATAATCCTAAAATATATATAATATAATAAATAAAAATATTAATAAATAAAACAATGAGATATGATGCTATAATATAATAATATATAAAACATTTTTAGGATATATAAATAAACAAATTAAAGTCATTAGCAACTAAAAGTTATTTTCATAAGATATTATATAAGAGGGTTAAAATTCCAATCAATAGATCAGTTCCAATAATCTTTATAGATAGTAATAACAATCAGTAGTTTATTTGCTGCCGAGAAACAGTGGTTTTGTAATTTTACATATTATACAGTGAATAAATTACTTCATCAATGTTTAAAGAACTTAATGTAGATCGTTCACAAGATCTACAAGAAAACAATAACTGCAGCAATAAAAAAAACAATATAAGTGTTAATAAGCCATATTAGTTTATTAAAAACATTTAGTGAGAAGCTATAACGATATTAAAGAGAGAAAGTTAGTCATTGAATTACTTTTATATAATAAAACGTAATTCTAATTAAATAATAATTGCAGTTACATTAAAAGTTTGATGCTAAGTTCCCGCGTTTTTAAAAAAAAAAAATTTGTAACTTTATTTCTTGACATAAAATAACAACCATTTAATCAATAATGTACTCTCTGTTGTTGTTTATGACTTCTTCTCAACGCTCAACGAGTTTTTCGACGCCTCTTAGGCAGAACTCACCCGGAAGCGTCTCAAAAAAGTCGTCCAATGAAGCCCATAATTCGACGTCATTATTGAATGAAACGCAGCATAAAGCATTTAAAAGTGCACAGCACAAATATTTTTAGCAGCTTCTGTTGCTTTGGCACCTCGATTAAACGCAAAAATAAGGTGGTGTCGGAAATGCTCGTTTTTTGTCCACTTGACACTCCATTTAAATTAAATGCTCTAAAAAGTAACAAAAATTAAAGTCAACAAAAAAGTGAAATACACTATTTTATAGAGCGAAAATTTCTCTTCCGAATAACATAAAAGATTATGCCAAAATACTTCATTTTCAATGCAAATTTAAAAAAAAAAAAAACGCGGGAACTTATGCATCAACCCAATATTTTCCAAATTTCCACCATTTTACCATAAATGAACTGAGTTATTTTTCCAGTACCAAAATAATGTAATATACCGCTGCTTTATATTGACTGCCAATTATTAGATAGTCTAATCTCTAAAGCAAAATTATAATACAAGCTGTGCTTATAAAAATCTAATAATCATTGTTCAAATATAAATAAAAATAAACAGATGCATTTTATTTAAAACATTTTGTTCTTAAAATATTAATGCTCAATAGAACATGAATGTGAAATTGGGGAAATAAAGCTAATTGGATCCTATTGTAGAGATATTTAAATTGTTTTGCGTTATAAAGTAGGGAAGTAACGAATAGTAAAATTTCTAAATACTGAGTATTCGAGTAAAAAATTAGCTGAATAATGCATTTAAAAAAAAATAAAAATCATTAATAAATATTATTTTTATATATAAATAAATTAAATAACAAATTTCATACATAGATAAATCCCATTATTATAATGAAATTTACAACTAAGCACTCTTTAAGCAGTTTCGGTGCTTTAAATTCCTTCTCAAGGTTTCTTTAATTTCCAGTAAATGTTCCACAGTCAATAAAACTGCTACCCCGTTTATTACAAGCCAAAAGAATTTGAACATCTGAAGTAAAATATAATTCGTAAATGAATTGTAATCTATACGCATGCACACACTTGCATAATTATTACCAGGAATGTGTAAACATCACAAGGAAAAAAAGTTAACCTTTTTTTGCCATATTTATGTTCAGCACAATGAATTCACTAAATTAAGTATATTCATTAATGTAGGGACTTTTTGAAAATTTAATGCCCAGGGATAATTAAATCTTGAAAATTTTTATAATTATGTATTGAAATTTTAAATGAATTAAGATTTGACAAAAAAAACAATTAGTGCAAAATAAAAATACTGAAAACTATACTTACGGTGGATGCTATTCTATCAAGATTGTTAAAAAAGTATTGTACGCTATCACTCTGGAAAAAAAAAATTATATGTAAATAAATTATTTTAACTTTCAACGTTTGGACAATTGGCTAATTACAAATCAATTTTTATTGTATTTCAATACAAATTCAGACATAAGCTTTTTTGAAAATTTTATAATGAAAAAAATACAATTATACCTGTTATAGTAATATGGTAAGCTACAAATTAGTCAGTAAGGTTTTAACACTTATTGATAAATTAGCAACATTTGAGAAGAAAGTTTCTTTGCTTTATACCAAATATTTTGAAGAAAAACTACATATTTATACATTTATTTAAATTGACTAACATTAAGCATTTTAAGAAATAGAGCAGTAGCCTTACTACATAACTAATTTCTAACATTGTCCTGCTCACAGCATCACTATCGCAACTATCCATTCGATAATAGTGATAACTGAGTGTGGTTTCTAAATTGAGTACTAAATAGAATATGCAACATAGATTTGAAAATTACTCATACACAATATTTGAATACAACATTAGAAATTGTAATAGAATATGAAAAACAAAAGTTAAAACATTAATGTCTTCATTATTTAAAATTGTACAATGTTAGATCACATTTTGCTGCTTCTCAAAAAACCTAATATAATGAGAAGTTAGCACACAAGCTTATTTTATAACAGAAATATTTTATCCTTTTATTAATATTATAATGTAGGATAATTTTTCAGAAAACCTCGAGTATAGGTTAAATTTATTTATTTGGAATTTAAAAAGACATCAAAGGAGTAATACTTAAGACATTCACAGTTAGATATTAAAATTCTCAAAATTAAATCATTGAGTGGTTGTAACATGGTGATAAAAAGTATATTTTCAACCAATTTAAGTTTTTAAAACATTCCGAACTAATACCAGTTTTTAAAGATACAAGGATGGAATCATTTCAACTTAAATGGCCTTAAAAATGTGAAGTTCAATATTTTCTTTAAGAGGACAATACTGATTTAAATAAAATAAATTTATCAGTTCTGTTATTTTATACTGATGCAGTAAATAATGACATAATATATTATTCATATAACGAGTGAAATGCATCAAATACAAATGTATAATATGATTTGCATAACAAATGAAATATGTAACAAACTGATATGCCAAGACTTGCCGATTATTCTGCCACAGATCACGATACGGAAATCTCCCCTACACTCTTATATAATAATTACACAAGCCTAAAAAATAATATTACTCTCCTGTTTTACTGCAGAAGCAATATACCGAATACCACAGAAGTTTCGCAATCCCATAGAAGTTTCGCAATCACATTGAAATTTCAAGAATCTTATATTATAGAATAGAAATACTTCATTTGAGACATCAATTTCTTTTATAAAAAAATCTTGAAATTTTATTTAATTAGAAGGCAAGCATTGATTCGTTTAGTATCAACTAAATAACAGGCTTCAAACAAGTTATAGGTACTTATAATTAAAATAACTTATTTAATACATCACTTCTTCTATCCAAAACTTACAAGTTGAAATTCTCTTCTTCTATGGTAAGCTATTCTGATACTTTTATCTTTCCAAAGTTCCTTAACAGAAGGAGCGTACTGAGAAAATGTTGATTTATCTAAGAAAAAGTTTTCATAACTCATCACACGTTCGCCGTGTTGACTTCGAGAAGGATCTTGCCAGGCAATCTCTAATTTATCGCGAGCGTCAACTAGAACTTTCATCCCCTTCACAACATTTTGAAATATAGTGACTCTGTATTCAGCAACAGTTTCCTCGTCAAATGTTAAACCATGAATTATTCGCATTTGCTTAAGAAATGTACTTTTGCCACTCTCCCCTGCACCAAGTAAAAGTAATTTTACAAGTTTTCTACGTGCCTTTTTGTCCATTTCTAACATTTTATCAATTTTTCTGCTTCGTTGAAATTGATCTAATTCTTCCGGACCGTATTTTAATCTTTCGAAACAAGAACAACACAAACTCACCCCGGCCATCTTTTTGCTTTGACAGCTGATTGTTTACATTGCCAATGACATAACGGTTATCTTTTTGTTTTGCCTCAGGAAATGTTAAAATATACTTTCGAAAAATTGCATCTTGATCAGCAATAGTTTAAGAAAAAAATAAGAATCTCGTAAACTTACTTTAATTTCGTAGCTAAATTATATTAATATTTTCAAGCAAAATGCAATTAAATACAGGGTGGCAAAATATTTCAAACTGTGACTGTCGTAGTTCGTAAAATGTTTATAAACAAAATACGGAGACTTCACGATGTTTGCTAGGGGAATTCTCAGATTTCGTAAAGTAAATTACAAATTATTGCAACAAAGAAATAAATATGTGGTTTTGTAAGTAATTTAGATCTTTGATCCAAAGCTTCATATTCTTAGTTCAGATTTAATTTTTTTCACGAATCAGCCTATGAAACAATATCGAAAATGTATCGAAAAACATTGATTCCTTCGAGAAATTTACCAAAACATTTAGACCCGGCAGCAAAATTAATATTTCAATTAATATAATATTTAATAATTTAAAAAGTAAAAGTTATTAAATGTTATTTTCGCCACGCACGAAAAACTAATGCTAAGGATACTGTCAGGAAAGTTTTAAAATTATTTAGTGGTGTTATTATTTTTAGACTAGATTTATATAAGACTTATCAATAGCATACTGTGCGCTTTAAAAAAAAAAAAAAAGCATTCAACAGTGCATTTTGCATTGCACAAAGTGTGAGGCAGAAGGCTTCTTATATGTTTTTAGGTTAATAATAAGTGATGGAAAAAAGTATTTTTTAGATAAAAAAAACAAACCTTTATTTAACTTTTACATTTTGCTCAATTAGGAAAAATCGGAATTATATCCGTATTATCTGTGGTAGAATTATTGCCCAGTCTTGGCAACTTAGGTGCAGCAACTTGCGATAAACTGGAAAAAACATCACAGAAGGATACCAACTCAAAGGGTATAACTCATATCCATCCCTTGGAAAGCCTGTACATGTTTTTGTTGAATAAATTTGCAAGTATAAAAGCCATTTGCAGGGGTCTGTCCAGGTCAAATTTACTACCGTTTAGCAGTACCTTCACAAATTCAACTTTAAAAAAAACTGTAGTTTGAAAAATACTTTTTTTAAAAATTTTATATTCGTATCTCGTAAGGAACAATAAATCCATATTTTTGTGTTGATTTTTTAATATAATTTTTAATTTTCACAAATTATGTCTAAATTTTCACAAAATAGGTACCTCTCAGAAAAACTTAGACAGACCCATGATTTGGTGTCTCGGTAATTGTAGTTGGCGCGACATATCTCAATTCAGTAAAAATACCTCCCACAAAAAAGTTATCAGCTATGGATTAGGCTAGCACCCAGTGATTCCATTTGACTCTAGGAAGTCCTTAGGACACAAGACTTCAGTTCCATTCGGACGTCCATAGGATGCAGAACTTCCAAATTTCTGGATCATTTATTGCTAAAAGCAGGCTCCTATTTAAAATGATACAAATATCCACTTAATAGATTACATAAAAAATAAATATTTATGATTAGAGAAAAAATGTAATTATTAATTGCTTCGGTAATAATTATTCAACAAAGAATTAGAACCAAAATTTCCATCAATTTATAAATCCTCTAAATTATTTTCTTCTCTTGTTTTTAACTCAGAAAAAAAAAAGTTTAATTTAATTTAGCCTGTAGGTGTGCTTTTTTTACCTTTTCTATTTTTTGCTAGTGGTTAACCACACAGCCTAAGGATGCACCATATCTTTTTTTGCCTCTTCCTTACAGTTTCTGGGGGTATTTGACACGCTAAAGCATATAAGCGGAATTGTCAAGCACTATTCATTCTAGATATCTACCTGATCTATTTAAACTGATTGATTTTTTAGTAATCAAAATGGTTTAAAAGATTAAAGTTTTTTATGGTGAAAAATCTTAATAATTAAAATTTTCCAATTTAATAAAAAATTTACAATGATCTACTTACGTTAAAATTATTTTTATATGCTCTTTAAAGGATTAACAGGATTCTGAAAAATAATTTAAAAGTCTACATTTAAATAATTTTTGATGGTATATTAAATAGAGACATCGTCTATTTACTTAAAATGGCAAAGTCTATTGATCGTAAGTCCCACAGTGAACTGATCATAAGGCACTGCTCCCAATCGAATTTTTTTTATATTTCCAATGGCCAAGGTTACAAAAGACCACTCACCACAAAGGGAGGAACAACAAAATAAACAAACACAAACCAGGGGTCTGTCCAGGCCGAATTTACTACCGTTTAGCGGTACCTTCACAAATTCAACTTTAGGAAAAACGGTAGTTTCACAAAATACTTTTTCTTAAAATTTTATTTTTGCATCCCTTAAGAAACGATAAATTCATATTTTTACCATATTTTTGTGTTGATTTTTTAATATAATTTTTAATTTTTCACAAATTAATTCTAAAATTTCACAAAATAGGTACCTCTCAGAAAAACCTAGACAGACCCCTGCAAACAAAAACAAACGTGGCAAGAAAAGTCTATGAACCCAATAAGTGTCTTGCGCTCCAGTAACGGTTACGCATAGAGATGTCCCCCAGTGCCGGGCAAAGACGAAGGTGGTTTGCATCCATCTCGACTCCCAATAGAATATCGCAGTGAAGTTTCACTGTCTTCGTTAGTGAACACACAACTTCGATCATCTTGCAATGGGACCAAGGGTGGGTAGTATCGGTCCTTACTAAATTACTTTACTGTAAAATGGTCAACTATGCACACAGGTCATTAAGTTACAAATTTGGGGAAGCTATCCCCTCTGCAGAGGATGAATAAAGTTAAATAATGCGAAAAGAGTGCATATAGTGCCCCGAAACCAACATACTATAGTTTTGGTTTAGTGAAGTACCTTTTTCAATGTCAAAATTTTAAATAAAAAAGGCAAAAACAGCTTGATATGTATAAATTAAAGTTAAATTTACTAAATTCATGCAATTTTTCTGAAACATGTAAATGAAAACAATATTGTGTATTCTAAAAAGTCAAAAGCTTTATTTGAAAGACAGGATTGCCACAGGCGACTATTTGCATTTATTTTCGACCTGGGGCGACTACGACAACTTTTTTTTGCCTTAAAAGTATTAAAATGCAACTACAGGAAAAGGAGACTATTGGGAGACTTTTCTGTACTCCTGGAAATGTTTGTTAGCATAAATTTGGTTGACAAACTGCAGCCAGTGGGAGGTTTTGAACATGATAAATTCTTTTTTCTCGAAAAATGTGTAAGATTTTCAATTGCAAATTTGAGTTATTACTTTTTAATGTTCTCAATTTGCACAGATTTCATCGTAAGTCTATTTTGTTTCTAGATTGCGGTTTCAATGGTTATTGCTACGAAATTCTACATGCTTTTAAACAACCTGATTTTTAATACAATATTACGATGCGTGAATTTCGAATTTGAATAATCACTTTTTACAATATAGTATATGTATATATATATTTGCTAAATCAATTATTAATGAAAGGGAAAAAATTTTTATATAAACTTTTACTGCTAAAACATTAACATTTATACAAAAAGAATCATATTTGCAACCAACTTGACTAAATAGATCATGGTCAATTAAGTCTAATAAAATTTTAGTTATGTAATTGAAAATTTTTTGTTCTTATTTAGGCAATTATTTTCATGCTTTAGGCTACTAAAAGCAATTATTTTACTCTTTTTTTTCTGTGGCAACCCTGAAAAGGTTATTTTGTTGGTCATTGTTCTTCTATTCAAAAAAATATGTTTTTTTATTAGATTGCCAGAAATTCCTACTGATACTGCAGAAACTAATCCCCTTTTGCGGCCTAATGAGCTCCCACCATTTAGCCAGCTAACTGTAGAAAAGTGTGTAAATGCTGTGGGAAAGCTTGTGATTGAATATGAGTCAAGTATTCATGACCTAGATCAAAGGCTTTATAGTAAGTTAAATAACAATCTGTCCTATCTGATTCTCTAAAGTTAATGTACCAGATTTTGTTAAAACTAATTTTTTAGTGTAACATGTATACTGTAATCTAACTATACTGAATTTTGATGATGGCGACTTATTTATTGATTGCTTAATTTGAAGACTTGCTCATTGGAAAGGTATTTGGTTAATGCATAAGGAATAAAAAAAAGTTTGCTAAATGTAGATTTTTGTAATGTAAATTTCTACTGACCCACAGAAGAATAATGATACTTATTTCTTCTATTATCTCAAACATACATATTATAAAAACCTTCTTTGTTAACACTTTTTTAACTATTGCTTAAAGATTTCTATCCCTTGTTTTCCAAACTCACATTTGCTTTTTGCAATAATTTTTATTTTTGTGGGGATGAATAAACTCTTAAATTGGAATTTATAATTATTCAGTTGAAAGGTATATCCCTAAATTTTTAATTGTTTGTAGTAACTTAGATTTTGCAGTTTTATTTTCTAATTCTATTAAGATAAAATTTAAACCTATTTTGTTTGACTAAAGCCTAAAAACAATGTGAATAAAGTACAAATTAAAATACAGAAATAAGCATACTCTTATTTTGGTCTATAAAGAAGAATCTTCCTCAGTGCCTAAACACCAAGTGATGTTAGAGAAGTAAAAGGACAAACATTGTGTAAAGTGGTTTAACCAATAGGGACAAAGAAACAAGTTTGAACAAAAATAATAAAAAAGGATTGATAAGAAACATGTGTGAGAGGATTTGTAAGAACCCCAGGGTGCAACTACAGATTAAATTGGAATAGACTTCTAAATATTGGGAAACTGTGCAATTGAGAGATGCTTAGTTAAATTATAAAAATATTTCAAAATATGGAATGACTCTCAAAAATCAAGTTCGGTAGATGAAAAAAATGTTGAACGATTTTAGCAGAAGAAAACTCAAACCTCATTAATCAAAGGTGTGAGTTTTATTTTGCTAAAGCAAAGTTAATCATAATATTTATTATGAAAGTTAATATGATTTATTACAAGTAAATATAACTTATTTAGTTGTAATTGCAAAAAGTTATCATAAAAGTTCCGTTGATATGTATTTACTTTCTAATTGAGTTAAATTTAACTCAATAATCAAAAATATAATAATATAAGAAATTGACATTAAGAAGAAAAAAATTTCATGAATTTTCATGTTTTTTGGTCATGTAATTCTGTATTTTAATTTTGTCCCCCCTCCCCAAAGAAATAATGCCATTGACTTCTATGATTAATTTTATGAATTTTTTTTCCTTAATCGTATATTTGAGACTCTTTCCAACCATAATTGATTATTTGATTACATTGCATAGTGATAATATTATGAATAAATAATTTTTGTTAGACTTCTTAATGTTTAACAAAATTGTATGATTTGTGATCAGAGTTGGGACCTTAGCCAAAATAAACCTAATATATATATTATGCTTATATATTAGGCCTATTTTTGATTATTTATACCAAATTTTTAAATTATATTATCATATTACTTAAGAGTCAGCTGGAGTATTTTGAGTATTAAACTTAACAGTATTTGATTATGAAACATAGTGGGTAATTTGTAATTGTGAATTCAATATATGATTTTGTAAAAAATTATATGTTTACTATGTTGTTTGATAATTTAATTGTATTAATAAAATTTGATTATATTTAAAGAGTTCTTTATAATACGATTCTACATTCGATTATATATTCGATTATATAATACGATTCTTTACTCCCTTTATTGTTTTTTAATCCTCAAAAGGCATTGCTTTTATACTTAATGTATTTTATTTACCACATGGTGTTATTTTTAATGTGCCAAAGATTCTTTATTGGATTTCTTTTTTCTTGTTATAGATTTATAAATTGTTGTGATTTATAAACTATTGTGTTTGCTGATTATTAGTTTTAAATTTGTTTGTTGTGTTACATTAGTTGCTATTGATTGCTGGTTTTACTATCGTTAAATCAAAAATTTTATAGATAAACTAATAATTAAATAAGTGCAATAAATTTTAAAAATATTAATTAAAATGGGAATCTTGGATGTCAGTAAAAGTATCATAGCTTCTTCTGGAAACTTTAAGACTTAATTTCTATTTAGAATTACCATCCAATATAATTAATGTTCAATCTTCAAAATTTCATTTAAAAAAGGATAAAGCTTAAGTTTTTTTTTTCTTATAAGACATTATAAAAGATTCAAAGAGCAGTTTTTTTTAGTATTTTTTTCAAATTGCTGCACATATTAGTTTTGAAATAGTATTTTTGATATTTAAGGTTCTTATTTTTGTAAGAAACAGATTAAAAAAAAAATAATAAATATAGAAACTGCTAATCTTTTTAAAAATTTAATTTTTTTGCATAATTTCAAGGATTTATTAAAGAATTCAAAACTAATTTATAGTTGTTTAATAAATTTTGTATACCTCAAAATAAATATGAAACTAATTCTGTTGTGATTTTTATTCTTAGATGATGGGTTTCAGAGAAATGTCGAAAATATTATTTTGCCTTTAGATAAACTGTCTGGTCAGTTGGACTATGCTTGGGGTGCTTTTAAAATTCTGTATACAGTTCATAGAAATGAAGACCTAGCGAAATCTTATATAAAAGTAATTTATTATACTAAATATTTTTATAATATTTGCAAAAATTTATTTATTGACAGAAATTTTTCTATAGACTTTATGTGAAAGAAATCCTTTAGGAGAGACCATTGAAACATCTGCCATAGACCGAGTAAACCTCTACACCGAATGCGCAAATGGTCAAATAAAGAAACTTGAAAAATTATCAATACAGAAAATATTAAGAAAACAAATAAGTAGATTTAAATGTAGCCAAAATATTTGTTAGTGCTCTTATATAGAGAGATCTTTTTAATGATCTCTGAAAGAGATTGACAACCTCATGTTGCAGTCAGAGTGTACTAAAGACGATGCTATCAATGATTTATTTTTAGAATTGAAAGTTAAATTTAAAAAAAAATTATTTTAGAAAAAACAAAGCATCTTTAAACAAACACACCTCTTCTCATTTTCTTAAAGTTAACTAATTTTTATGATATAAAATTAAATGCTAACATGAATGAAAAAAAATATATTTATTTAATACAGTTGTATAATTCATTATTTGTAATAAATTTGTCTTTACCCATAATTATGTCAGTAAAGGTCAAGGTCATTTTTATTGATGCTAAATTTTATTCATGGATCCAATTTTCATGATGCCAACACAAGTATAATTTCCACTCCGAGAAAAGGACACTGAGTCATCATGTACCTTAACAACATTTGATAACATTTTGAATTCAATGAAGATAGCTCATAAGAATGACCAACCTCCATAAACGGCCATTTTGCTGTGAAACAGAGTGTTCTCTCCCGAGAGGTTTCACTGTATATATACATTCATAATTGAGATAATTACCGAATGCGGTTTAATCTTCATGTAGTATAATGAATCCACAAAAGGTGCCATCCACCATTAGGAAAAAAATTGAAAACCATTGCCTCAGAAAGTGTTTAAAATATTTTTTACCTTGTTTGTATTAATTTTAAAACTTGGATATTATTTTTTATTTATTATCTGTAAAATTTAAGATAAAATGAGTCATTTCAAACAAAACTTCGATGTATTTTTTTATATTATAATGTGGAATATAAAACATCTTTAGTACGAGCACTATGAATGAAATATAGTCCTTTGTATGTTAGTTTTAGAGATAAAAAAATCAGATTTTTTATACACAAATCTTACCATCAAAAGACAAATTCATGCGTTAAACAATTTTTTTAGGATTATTTATATTTTTTGTATTAAATTTAATGATGATACATTTTTATTTTGTGCAGTGTACTTAACAAGTGCTCCAAATTATTTAAGAATTTAATTATTTAAATATGTTTCATTTCCATACTTGGTGATTATTTTTTTATATATCTTTATAAAAAATTATATTTTTTCTATAATGCATAGATTATGTATTACTATTTTATATATTTATTTATTACAAAGTCATATAGGAAGTTTTACTGATATATCATAACAGATATTCCTTTCGTTGCAGCTTAATCATTGCTACCTTTTACAGATGCTCCAAATATTGCATAAATTTTATGATTTATATTGAAAATGTAATAGTTCCTTTTTCCCAAAATCAATCAATCAGCTTTTCAAATGATCAACAAACCATCTAGATTTTCACATTTAAAACATAACATTGTAATTGATGATGCTATTAATTCAGTTTTTTTTTTTTTTTTTTTGCTATGAATTCATCTGTAGATATGTTTTCTCATTTACATTTTTTATATTTTAGTTTATGAAGGACATTCTGTTTTAAACTTTTTATTAACATTGTTACAGTAAATATTTTTTGTTTTTAGTTACACTCCAGAATTATAAAGGCCAAGCGGGAAAAGTACTTTAGCCCTTCCTTGTATCAAGCATTTAAAGTAAGTTATCCGATGAATTTTTTGTTCCATTTTATTTGCAAATGTATTGGTCGGTTTACTTTAAAATTTTTAACAGTCCTTTAAGAGGTGGCATGCAGTCAATTTGAAGAAAAAAAGGCAAAATAATCTGCATGTGTAGTTTTAGTAATGTTTTTATAAATCAGAATTTTAAAAAATTTGTTCATCATTAAACACAAGTAATTTAAACAGATACATATAAGGTGATGTAGACAAATGCTTAAATTCTTGTAATTTTTTAAAAGAAAATTCAGTTCATTCACTACTACTGAAAACAATAATTCACTACAGCATCAAATAGTTGAGGTCTAACTAAAAAGCATGTTGACATTTTCATATTATAAGAACTGAAATTTTAATGAAATATCTTATTTGATAATAGGAAACATTCTATACATTTTATATCCTTTGCAAAATGCAAAGTTATAATCTAACTATGTGGTTAGGAATAAAAACAGAGATGTTTTTGAAATCAAATATAACATTTCATTATTAAATTATGTTACTATGCATGAAAAAGAAAATAGTCACAAAGGGAAGGAATTGCAGACTATATTGGTGAAATAAAATGTGTTAATGAGGCAAATAGAGTAGATGAGACAATTACAATAAAAACAGTGACATTTTATAAAAAAGCAAAACAATGATAAGAATATCAAGTTGTTAGCTTCATTAAATATTGTTTGCTTAGCATCCTTTAGATGTTCTACCAAAGAATTGTTTTAAGTTTGCACTGAGAGAAAGAGGGGAAATTCTGGTGCTGAACTGTTAGTTATTTATGTTTCTTATATAAAAGCAATTATACTGTTTATTCTAAAATGCTAAGCTGCAAGGTTATTTTCAATGCACTACTGATAAACTTAAAAATTTGGATAAATTAGATTCTCAAAATTGCTCGTGTTTGAAACTTGTTCTTTTACTAAATTAATGTTAATGTTATAAGTAGTTGTCAGGAATAACTACAAACTATAATTTTTTTTGTATAGAACTACTTTCTACTCTATTTTTTTTTTTAAAAAAAAAGCACACTACAATACAAACTACTAAAAAAGTATGACTACAGTAGTTTAGCTGTTAGTAGCTTGGTAGCGTTGACCACTGATTTTTATATTTATAGACTTGTCTAATTTTTAAATTATTTAGATGTATTTTGATATAATTGTTGGGGACTGTGCAATCACTTTTTGATTGAAGATTAAAAGATATATATTATTATTTAGAATTTATAAACACATATAGAAAAAAACTTCTTTTTTTTTTAATTTCATGGTGTATAGCAATTTTTAAGTAATATTTTCAATGATACTTTTGCTGTTTTAATGATAATTGCTCTTTTAGTAAGAATGTTTTGTTTTTTTATTGTTTTAGGAATTAAAAGATAATGAAGCTCAGCTTCTCGAATCAGTAAGGAGGATAACTGATAAACATTTATTGGAATCTCATTTTTCTGGTATACATTTACCTGATGGTCCATATAATCATTTTCAAAGTGCCATGCAAAAACTTGATGAGCAGAGAGTAATTTATAGGTGAATAATACAAGTTTTTAATTTTTTTAGCCAATCAAAATAATGTAATATTTTTCTATGGCAGTTTTAATCAAACTTAACTTCCTGCAATCTTAAATAAATAATCTTGAGAAACTGTAGCAGAGATATATGCTCAATTAAAAGCTACATTGGCTTAAAGAAAAACTGAAGATGGTAATAAAAGTCGGCATGTTTCAAGGGCTTAAAAATAAGCAACTGTTCTCAAGAGTTGCTTGATGTTCTTGAAAAAATTAAAAATAAATAAATGAAATTTTGATTTTCTTTTTCTGTTTTTCAAACTTTTTGTTCCATACAAACCTCACTTTTTTGACAGACAGTTTTTTATAATTATTTACTATTTACTGCAAGTTAATTTTATAATATTTTTTAAAATTATTTTAGTTTATTTATTATTGTTTTGTATCATTATTTCTACAAAATAATAATTTTTTTGATTTTGTATTGTACTTCATTATATAGTGTTGCAATGAATTATAATGTAAGCCCTTTGATGTGTGTGAAAAATTTTTTTTTTAAATCTTGCTTCCCTCTTTTTAAGCATTTTCTTGAAGTTATTTCAAATATATTAATTGAAGGTTAAATTTATATATTGAATCCATTGATTCAACATAATATCACATGATTTATAAGATAAAGCTAAGAATAGTTGAAATTAAAGATTAAAACGATTGTTACCTGTTTTACTGATTCTTTTTTATTTAATTCTTTTTATTACAGAAAAAAGTTGTTTGAAACAACATCTAAGTTCTCTCATGATTTGCAATTCAACGATGTAGTTAATTTCCCACCTAATATTCTTCAAATTTTTGCTGCTGACAAGTAAGATGTATTTTATATTTATTTTGTAAAATTTTACAGTGGGATCCCATTCAGACATTGTGTAAGAGTCTATTCTTACATATTATTTTTTTAATTTTCTTTTGATTACTTACAAGGGATTTAGAAGATTAGTGATGATTTAGTGATATTATAAATCAAGAGCATATGCCTTCCTTTCTTTACATTTATACATAATATTTGATTCTCCCCTTTAATGTATTGTATTTTTTTCTGTGTACTGTTCAAGCCAAACTTATGTTTTAGGTATTAATTATTATTGAGAGTGATGTGTGATTGCCCTATTTTATCTAATTTATATATAAGAATTTTCTATCTTTTGGCAGCTTTTTTTCATTAGCATCGTTGCCTCCTTCCTTCTTTTTTTTTTACTTAATATAAACTACTCAATTTCTATCAGTACCTTCAAAATCAACAACATTTTAAGCATGATCAATTGAAACAATCAAAATTTTCGAACTGAAAAGGAGGAAGAAGTCAACTGAGGTAAATCTTGAACATTAATTCATGCTAGCCACGTGTAGTGATTGTTTAGATCTTTTAGTCCAGAAGTTCGTACTAATGTAAAACTTGTTAAAAATATTCAACATTCATAAGCATATAATGATTCTTAAGAGGTTGTTAAATGAGGTTTAACTGTGTAATGTTTAATGATAAGTTACTAAATGAAATATGCAATTGTCTCATATGAGTACAACTCTCCAAGCTATCAGAATATTTTTTAAGTTATCAACGCCATTTAAAAGTCTTTGTGTCACTGCTTCAGCTTCTGTGTCACTTGTTATTTAATTTACTGTCAATGAGTATTTATGTTTGGATAACTGTTTCTAATGATGATCTTCAGTAAATTCTATGTGGAATAATGTGTTTTTATAAAAAGTAGTAAATCCAAACTTTTCTTTAATTTATTGACTAAAATGAATAAACTTTTTTTCTTAATTTCCAATCTTTTAGAAGAAAATACATTTTGCATTTATTTTTGCTGACTTGCTGAAATTATTACATAAAAAAGCATTTAAAAAATAATGCTCATATTAAAAAACAATGTTTTCTTTTATATTTATTAAATACATCAAAAAAGTACAACTGATGAGGAATAATATTAATGCTATTTGTTGAAATTTTACGGATATCGTTTGAATTAGTATTTATTCTTAATTTGTGTAAATCATTTAAGACCAATAATTTTAAACAGTGTCAAACTTTTAATGTTTTTTTAATTATATTTAACATTAATTTTTTGTTATATGATGAATTTATTCTTATAGAACTAGTCCTTCCAAAGGTCCTTGGACTGTAACTCTAGAGCCAAATGTTTATAGAGCGTTCTTAGAGTATTGTGAAAATAGTACATTAAGGTGGAATGTATGGAATGCTTATAATACAAGAGCTACTTCTATATCAGGAATGGATAACAACAACAGTGTAACTGTTGAAGAAATTAGACATCAAAGGTGAAAAACAGTTTTTTTTACTTCAAATATTTACAAACTTAGAAATACAGTATTTTTTCTTCAAATATTTGCAAATTTGTAAATACAGTATTTTTTCTTCAAATATTTACAAACTTATAAATACGGTATTTTTTCTTCAAATATTTACAAACTTATAAATACAGTATGTGTCTCATGTCTGGGTGTTGCTTGAAATAAAGGCAGTCAATTCTGGTAATTTCAAATTAAAAAAGACAGGGAAGCCTTTTAATAATGAAAATTCATTATGCTAAGATTAAAAACTCAAAAACATACATCAAAAAATTATTTCTCTTGAGTGAAATTTAGCTTCCAAAGAATAATTATTGATGCTAACTTGCTAAAAATTGTATGATTATGCGAAAGAAATACATGAAACTATTAAAATATGTGTTGCAAAGAAAATATGAATTGGAGATTTGATATCGAATCCCTAAGGTTGGTAATCAATTCACAGAATTTGGTTAAGATAACAACTCTGTGGTTATTGTGTGATGGTGATTTCTCTAAAGAAAGTAAGGGATTTGATCAAATCTCAATTTTAGTGAAACTAAAATAGAGATTTGATCGTACTTATTTTAGTGAAAAGATGAAATAAACAAGTCAGAGGAAAGTAACAAAGATGAAATGAACATATAGATTTTTACTTATGCTATAATTTAAAATAATAATTTTAAATAAAATAATAGTTTGTATATCATATCCATTGAAAAATGATAATTCTTGAAATCTTGTGTTCATTAATTTTAATATGTTATTCTCAAGAAACAGAGTCCCAGACCCCTACCTTGAAATAAATTCTTATACATTTGAAACAGTGAGGAGTTTTACTTACTTAGGATCAACTATTACCATTGACAACAGAATTACTCCTGAAATAAAAAACCGACTCTATTTTTCGAATATGGCTGTCTATGGGCTGTTCTTTCTAGAAAAACAAAGTTCTTAATCTACAAAACTCTTGTCCGGCCAGTCTTGACATACGCTTCTGAAGCTTGGACAATGACAAAATTGGAGGAAAATTGTATCGCAATATTTGAGAGAAAGATTTTGCGGGGTATACTTGGTGGTGTAAATGAAAACAATAACTGGAGAAGGAGATTTAACTTTGAACTGTACAAGATTTATAAACAACCTGATATTATTAAATACATAAAATTAAGTACAATAAATTGGATCGCCCACGTGATTTGAATACTGCGTTTTACACCCACTGGAAAAAGAAAGCGGGGAAGGCCGCGGTTGAGATGAACTGACTCAGTGGAGTCTTATTTTCTCGCAATTAATGAAAAAAATTGGAGATCAAAGATAAATCGGAAGTCGTCATGGAAAAATCTTTGGAGGAAGGCATTGGCTCACATTGGGCTGTCTAGCCAACTATGATGATGAAGATGAAAGATTAATGAAAATATTAGTGTATGGAATGCGGCTATTGATAGTAATTGTAGTTTATTATTTTTAATAATCGGATAAATGAAGGCAAGTGAATACCATTGCCTGGTTTATGTTACACTGATATTTTTTTGAAGCTAAATGTCACTGTCTAGTATATCCTACACTGATGTTTTTTTAATGTTAAGTACCACTGATCAGTACACTTTTTCCGGTATATCCTACACTGATGTTTTTTTAATGTTTATTTCCACTGTTCGACACACATTTGCTTGAAAAACCTAATACTGATGTGTTTTTTAAAGGTTAAGTGCCTTAAAAAACATAAAAGGAATAAAAAAGATTTCCAGCACAAAGTATTAGCACAAAAAAAAATAAAATAAAATAACACTGCAAACAAAGTGCAGGCATCTGCATCCAAAGTAAACACACAAATGATATTGTCTAGCTGTTTGCGGGGGAAGTTACCATTATAGAAATCTCTTTTTATCATATTGGAAATCTAGCCAAATGAGTTCAAGACTCTTCTATTGATCATACTTTATTGGTTATTATTTATGATATATGAGATTATTAATATTAACTGATTAAATATTTTGATCTTAACATTTCAACAATATTATTTCATCTTTTCACTAAAGGAATTTAATCAAATCACTTACTATTTTTAGGGAAATCACATACTATTAATCACTTGCAATTTTTAGGGAAATCACATCAAAGAGTTGTTATTTTAACATCTTCAGTGAATGAATTATCTGCCTCAAATATTTGATTAAATATCTGTTTTCTTTATCTCTCTGTAACGTATACAATTAAGTTGTTCTTAGTTTAACTTATTTAAATGTAAATATATAGAGCACTATAAGGAAGAAAAGACAGCAAATTTCTCTTCAGAATTAACTAGGATATACAATAAGAACAATTGTGAAATTTTTATTTTTTCGTGATTTTTGAAATGTTACCTAAGTTTTTTCCTTAATGGAAAATTGCTTATATTTGAGAACACTCATCTTGTTCGAAACTTCATGTAAGTTTAAAGCAAATTTTGTGAGACAGGAGACTAAATTTTATACACTTGCACAAACTGCATACTATTCTTAAATTAATAACTAATTAATAAAGCTATCTTTTTTTTTCTCCAATACCCACTTGATTGGCACTCGTCATTCTGGTATCAGTATAGCAGATTTGTTGACCACTTTTTCAGGAGCACCATATTAGGTGGGCTAGTGTTGCTCCCTCAGTAAGGACAGATAGTACAGAGAATGAAAGAATAACCATACCTTATCCGGGATTTAAAGTCGGGACCTTTCTTATGTGAGAGCAGCTCTCTGACCACTGAACAGTCCGATCGACTTTATAAAGCTATCTTTCTTTGTCTATTCCTTAGACTCATAGGATATTTTTATTCTAATTTAATCAGTAATTTAATTTATTAAATAAAGATTTAATAATGTTCAAAGTGTTATAACTTGTCACAAGTGCAAGTTAGAGATCAAGCTCTTAGGGCACAGGTTAAATTCATCTCATTTTTGTAGCTCACATAAAATCAATAGTGTTTCAAAAAATTGTAAGTAGGACACTGAATTTTGGATATTTCAAAGTGCATTTTAATTTATAATTTATTTTTAGTTTATATTGTTTAACTTTTGCAAATAAAGTATTTGCATCTGATTTTCTTTCTTAGATATAGATTTTTAGAACAGTACAAATTCATTGTTGTGTTTTTTTATACTTAAAAAGAAGAGAAGAAAAACTTAATTGAAAATGTTATCTTAATTGTAAGCAGTTTTCAATAAGCTTTCACATGACATAAACTCAGATTAGGATTCTATTTTTATTCTTAAAATTATAAAATGCCTTTATATTTTGTTTACATAGTTTTAAGACAAAATAACTTAATGTTTATAATAATCAAGTAGTAGAAATAAAATCAACTATTTAATTATTTTGAGATAGATATATGTTTAGTGCTGTTTAAATTTTATTGGAAGGCTTTTAAGAATTGTGCAAGTTTTTATGTTGCACTATATACATTTTAAATAATATATCAATAATTGTTTTTGGGACCTTTATACATTATTTTTATCTATCAGCTGTCAGAAATTTCTTTTTCAATTTCAGGAAAGAATTAGCCACAATTTTAGGTTTTAAATCATATGCAGAGTTTTCCATGCAAACTAAAATGGCAGGGACCATAGAAAATGTAATGGAAATGATCACAACGTAAGTTTTTTTTCTACTAAATATTTCTGTCCTTTTTCTTGCAATTGTCCATTTATGTTTCAGATATGTATATTCTACTAAATTTTAAATCTTTTAAATTTCTCTTCCACACACAACACTTTAACTAACATTAAAACTCAAACAATTTAATAACCAACTACAAATTGCTAAAAGGGAAAAAGTATTTGCAAATTGCTAGGAAAAAATAAAATGAAGTGCAATGGCTTTTGACTTCGTTGATAACACTGAATGTTGATCTGAATAGTTAGTTATAAGTTAGAAAATAGGTGGCATGATAGATTGCGATCAACAAAAGTAAAGGTGAAGTATGCAGCAGAATTTCGAAAAATAGCAGAGGTATTTTTTTTAGGGATTAAGACTACTTAGCTAGTGTCCTTCTACGACATTTCGGTTTAAGATTCTAAGAGGAAAACAAACAGAAATTATGTTTGTTCTTCACTTTTCTATATTGATACCAGAAATTTGAAAACAAATGTATTTTACTTATCTCTATTTCAAGTAATTATTCCTCATTTAAACATGAAAAAAAATTGCAGAAAGGGAAGGTCAGTAATTTTTAACTAGTTGCAAACGTTCATTTTTTAAATTTAATATTAGGATTTAAAACGGGATCTCATAATATGTCGTGCTTGTTATATTGATCATTATAAAAGAGTCATAGTATTGCTCTATAACAGAAAAAAAGCAAGAGAACCGGCAAATCAGGACAAAATATTTTTATTAGGAATATCAAGAAAATTTCAACCTTCACAAAACTTTTTAGAGCATTAGTTTTTAAAATCATCATTTATTGCACTGCAATGTTACAATACAAAACTATTTCAGATGTTCCAAATTCTTGTTTCAATACCTCCTTTATGAAGGATTTTAAGAAGTGCACAGATATAGCATAAACAATAAGAAATTTATTTGGGGATATGAAAAGTGTTTCTTTACAGTTAATACTATGCGAAACATTTGTAAAAACAATGGGAAAAAACAGATTTTTCACAAGATGGTAAAAACCATGGTAAATGCCGGTAAAAACCTCACATGGTAAATACATTGCCAACCCTGTCTTAAATATTTTTTTTTACTATTTTGATCGTTTTATTTTGTTCTTTACAGACTTCATGTTAAAAGCAAACCAAAGACTTTTCAGGAATTAGATGAACTACAAACATTCGCTAACAAAAATGGCTTTCCAGATAAATTAGAACTCTGGGATGTCCCATATTTTCAACGATTGCAGAGAGAAGAACTATTTAAGTAATTTTATATTATTAGCAATTGTAATTTCATATAAATCATATGTTGTTTTACTGTGGTATATTTAAACTTGATTGTTTTTTTTAGTGTTGACGATGATGTGGTTCGTCAGTTTTTCCCGTTTCCTTCTGCAATAAAAGGGCTTTTCCAATTGTGCCAACTTCTGTTTAATGTGACAATTCAGGTTAGATTATACATTAGCTTATAAATTAGCATTTTTTTTTTATTTAGCAGATGCCAAGTCATTAACAATTGAGTCATTATGCAATGGGCTCTCCAATATTTTTTCATGATTATGTAATTCAAGTCACTTAGTGCAGAACACATGTCTAGAGGAATAGCAGTCATTGCTTAAAATTACATTAGGCACAGTATGGTCAGAATCAACTAATCAAATTAAACTGGAACAATCATGTTCAGTTAAAAGTTTAAATACATTTACAGCTGATGTAGTGTCTAAAACCAGGATGCAAGGAAATGTATGAACTTAGTACAATTCAAGACTTGTTTTTAGCATCTCAGGAAGTTTTTTGATGAAATAGTTGTCTAAAAATAAGAGACCTTGTCTTTCTGGAACTTTTTAAGAATGCCGGTACCTTTTTTGTTTTGCAAAAAAAGGTGCCTTCAGGTTACTCCAAAAACCACCAAAGGATGGTAGGCATCGGAAAATAACAATCTCTTAATTTTTTTCTGTAGCTTCTTGCAGCTTTATTATTTCATGAAAATTAAATTAAAAAAAATTATAATTTTAAGTTTGGAGAACTTATTTGCGTCAAATTTAAAAATTTGTAGACTCTGCATTTAAATTTTTTTATATTTTATATATATATATATATGTAATTTTGTAATATAATATATATATTATATAATTT